CCTGAACACAAACAGGGCTTTTTCAAAAGAGAGCATTCAGATTGCCTGGGTGTTCTCTTTCAGAAAAGCTGATTGCTTTTTCAAAACCCCTGGGGCTGTCTAGACAATCTCTTTCGAAAAAGCCTCTTTCAAAAAGAGCTCTTTCGAAAAAGCCTCTTTCGAAAGAGGCTTGTAGTCTAGATGTACCCTTAGGGTCTTTGGACCTGCCAAAGCATCAGTACAACAGGTAAGCAGACTGTCAGAACAGCTACATCTCAATGAAAACAACATGACAACCACAACTTTGCTGTGATGGTCTTTTTGGGGGGTGGCTTCTTGGAGGGTGAGGCCAGGATTTTCATCTTTTGGAAAGAAAACAGCAAACTTTCACTTCCCAGTGTACAAGGAGCGGCGTCAACATCGATGACGCCGAGGAGGATCAGTGCTGTGGAAGAGAGGTCTCAGGATCTGTATGTGGTCCATTATAATTAACTTGAGTTTGAGGCCAGTCTTTTCTGGTCTGTGCCTTTCAACTAAGGAAATAGGAGTCACCAGCGCCCCAGGCCACCAGAGCCTTGGGCAGCGCACTTTGGACAATGTTGGAGGAGTTATCTGGGCAGAAATGAGGGCTAGCTGCCCCACCCCATCAGCTTGAGGACTTATCCCTTTCGTGAGTGCTGAGCTGTGCTTCCCGCCCCACACACCTTGCCTAGGGGTCTGGAGAGACTGTTGGCTCGCCTGGGAGTGACTATCACTCATGGGAATACTCTCACAGTAAAAAAAGCACATCTTAAAGCCAGAGCTTCTGGGCACAAATGAGGAGAGAACATCCCAACCGGGAAGGACTGTGGAATCTCTGCTAGGAAATAATATAGAGGAGAGAGTGGAATTTTTTTTTTCAGGTAAAAATATGAGAGGGAGAAACAAGTATCTAAAGCAGAAACGTAATGAAGTGGTTTCCAACGTTTTTCATACCACGGACTGGCAAACACATTCACAAACGTTTGGTGGACTGGTAACATTTTATTTGCACGTTTTCATATTCATTACATAAATAATGAATATGCAAATAAAATATTACCGGACCGCCAAAAGCCCTGGCCCTCAGAGCTGCCACAAACAACTGGCTTCAGCTCTAGGAGTTGCCATGTGGTGAGCGGCTGCCATAACTGAAGCCAGCTGTTTTCAGCAGCTCTGGGGGCTGGAGTGTACCCTGGCCCCCTGAGCCCCACAGTGCCAGATCTAACCCCTAGAACTCCCCCGCCACTACCCTCCCAGTGTCAGCCAGTGACCCCAGAGTCACCTGCACCCAATCCCCCCATGTCTGCCTCCCGCCCTCAGAGCCTCCCAGTGCCAGCTCCCCACCCCTTAGAGCCCCCACCAGACACTCAGTGCTAGCCTCCTGTTTCCAGAGTCCCACTGCACCCAATCCCCCCAGAGTCCTCCCAATATTAGCCTCACCCCCAGGTGCAGCCCTGCCCCTGTAGTCCCTCACTACTAGCCCCACCCCCAGAGCTCCCCAGTGGCAGGTCCCTGCCACAGATGCCCCAGTGCCAACCCCCACCTCTTAGAGCTCCCCAGCATTAGCCCTGCTCCCAGAGCCCCCCAGTATTAGCTTCGCTCCCAGAACCCTCTACCCCCAAATCATCCCAGCACTAGCCCTGCCCCCGGATCCTTCAGTGCCTGCCCCATCCCCCTCGCCTAGCTCTGCACTGCTTCCCAGGTCACAGCTGTTCTAAAGCTGCCGCGCCGGGGTCTGTACGGACCTCCCGCCACAAAACACTCTTCTTTGTTTGGGAGTAGATCCTACCCTGCAACAGCTGTGGCGGAAGGGGAGGTGCTGGGCAATGTACCCCAGCCCTAGCCCCCAGAGCCGCCACGGCCCAGCAGCCAACAGTTTGCAACCCAGCACTGGTCCATGAACCGGCGGTTGGAAACCGCTGACTTAATGCACCTAAAGCCAGGACAGTGAAAGAGAGAGAGAGAGAGAGAGAGAGAGAGAGAGAGAAAAAGGGAGTCAGTCTGTTAGAGGCCCAGTCCCAGAGTGGTTGAGAAAATACTGAGGGTGACTGGATAACTCAGTATATAAACACTGCTTAAAGTGCATGATGGGGTGAGCATAGGAGAAGCATGGCTACCGAAGACCTCCGATCCTAGTCATAGGTACGCCATCACACAAAGCGAAGAACCTCTAGGGACAACACTCAACGAAGAATCTAATATTTCATCAGTGCCCTTTCTGACAGAGAAATCCAAGTGGGATAGAATCCAGGAAAGCCTCCTTTCACTACCTCTTCTTAGAAGGTTGAAATTTACCTCCTCAAGACGGCATTTAAAAAATGAACTGTCACATACCCTTTCCAATCATTTAAAGCTGACTTTTTTGTCCTGCAGAGCTGAATAATATTGGCTTCCAATCCAATTACTGGTGCAGGACTGAACAAATATAGCCAAGTCTTGGGCAATGGCTCAAGTGAGTTTTCAGAGCAGAAATAGAGATTCTATGACTTTGGACAGAAGGAAACAACATTTCTCTGCCTGGCAGGTAGCTTAAAGTAATAATCTATGGGTATTTGAAGCAGCTCAGGTTCCGAATGTCAGAAATATTCTCAATGAGAGAAATAAAAATTTATCACGACTACAATATTTTACCATATAGATAGCACGTGCACACAATAATTGAACATATACACACAATCAATGTTTGTGTACACTCTACCACGTGCAAACATTTTATGCCCACAATTTTCAAACATGGGTGCTTAAAGGTCAATATCTGACTCCATATTTAGGCATCAAATCAGAAATTAGCACAATTTTAGAGGTTCTGAGAAAACTGCTGTTCACTTCAGTGATGGCCAAGAGTGTTCAGCATATTTGAAAATGCCACTCCCAACAAAGCATCCATATTTGAAAATTTTATCAGATATTTTACTAAAACCCTTCAAATTGATTTAAACAGCAAAATTCATTCTTTACAAGGTATC